CAATAAAAAAAAAATTTATAAAAATAAAAATGGATCCATAAATCAAATTGTGTTTATAAAGGTATTTTGTTTAATGTTTTCCTCAGATTTAACCTAGTCTGAACTTTTTTTCAGATATTTTCTAAATTTGGCACGGTCTTGAAGATTATCACCTTTACAAAGAATAATCAGTTTCAAGCTTTGCTTCAGTATGCTGACCCAGTGAATGCACATTATGCCAGAATGGTAATTATGATCATATTCATTTTTCATTTTTCAATTGTTAATTATTTACCTCAGTGATATCTGAAGGAACCTATCATGTCTTCTTTCTTACCTCAGGTTACTAGATTTTCTTTTTTAAACATTACTTCTTCTTTCTTCATATGACATGGTTTTCCTTCCCATCATCTCTCATGTCTCTGGAACCCATTCCTATTTGTCATATTTAAAGGCTAGAGTTGAGCACAGTACTCCTTATGTAATCTAATAAAGTAGAACTATCTTTGCCGTTGTGCCTTCATTTACTTCTGTTAAATCAGCCAGAGGCTGATTGATTTCACTTTTTGCAACCATGTTCACTGTTGATTCCTGTTGAATTCTAAATTGGTAAAGACTTTAAGTCTTAGAAAATACGCTGCTGTCAGTTCATGTTGTCCTTATTTTTAGTACATGAACACTTGACTTTTTTGACAAAATACAAAACTACATTCTGTTTGGTTATATTTGACCCGTTGTTCCAGCCTATTGAGATCTATCTCTACCTTAGTACTTTATTTAGTCTTGTATTGGTATCTGAATTATTTCTAATTTCTTCTCAAAGATAGGGACTAAGGTTTATAGTACATTTGTGACTGTACACTCCCTAGCCCTTGATTAGGAATATTACCTTTGCTTTTGCAGTACCCTCTGCCTGGATTCATTATTTTGTACCTTTATGGTAGCATACTTGCCAGTGACTATTAAGAAAAGCCAGAGTTTTTTGTATATTTGTTGTATTTTATTTTATTTGTATGTGCTTTGGTTTCTAGTATCTATTTTTATAAATTTTATCATCTGTGAAAGTCACAGTGGCTACAAATATTTCTTTGTTGAATTTTTATAATTGCAGAGGGGAAGGATTTCTGATCTTTGGTCTTGTGTCAGAACTGACTCCAAATTTCCCTCAGCTTATGTATTATTCAAGGACAAAATTTAAAGGCAAAAGAAAATAAGTGATAGATAAGATTTTGTGTCTCTGATGAGTACCATTTACAAAGGCTTTGTTTTTTTCAAACCCATGTAAACATACCAAAAAGAATCAAGATGAAATGTAAAATTAAACTATCTTTAAACATTTGCTACAGGTAAAATAATAACAATGGTTGGTATTTATATGATGCCCAGTGGTTTTCCAGACTTTTCCATTTCTCCTCTCTCATTTGATTTTACCACAGGCATGTATAGGAAAGATTGGTGGTATTCTTATTTTACAGGTGAAAAAGCTGAAACTTAGAAATTTTTTTTTATTTGTCCTCAGCCCAGGTCTTTAGCTTTTAGTCCATTGCTGTCTGCTTTACACCTGATTGTCACTCTGTGCCAAAGTAGAGGCCACTTGATTTATCAGTGTTCTTGTCTTGTGAAAACATCAGTCCCTTTCTTACATGCTTTAGGCTCTGGATGGCCAGAATATCTATAATGCATGCTGCACTCTGCGTATTGACTTCTCCAAGCTCACCAGCCTTAATGTGAAATACAATAATGACAAAAGCAGAGACTTCACTCGCTTAGACCTTCCTACTGGCGATGGCCAGCCATCTCTTGAACCCCCTATGGCTGCTGCTTTTGGTGAGTAGTTTCTTTTTGTGTCACCAAGCAAATTTTATGAAGATACGTGTTTCATTTATTAATCCATGTATGTCAGTTAGTCCTTTTCTTCTTGGCTTCTCTTGGGATTTCTAAAGGAAAGCAAGAATCCTGGAATAAAATGTGTCCATCAGTTAAATCTTAATATCAGGAGGTTTTATTAGTTGGCATAATAAGTGGATTCTGAAATTGAGTTACAAATTTGTTTTCTAACATTAATATTACTCATTTTTTATAAACTACACAACCATTTGCTTCAAATTAAGTCTTATATATTAAAGTATTGACTTAAATATGTTGGTTTATAGCCAAGAGAGTTTTGTCCTAAGTGATCTTGAAAAAAATATTTTCCCCATTTAAAGTAGTGATATTTTTAAAATGGTGCCTAAATTAAGTCCTTTATTCAAAAAAGAGGTTATTTTAATTTTGTTTTTTAAATTTTAGAGATGGAAATCTTTAAGTTTGTATGAAGTTGCGTTTTTGCATTAATGAAAATATAGGCTTCTAAATTGTCTCTTTAAATGTAGATTTGAGGAACTTTCCTCCTCTTTTATTTATGATTAGTTCTCAGTATGTTTATATACTTTAAGAAGAAACTTTATATAAAGGAAAAAGCACAGTGATGGTTACATCTTTAGGTTAATTAATATATGCTTCTTTTTAGTTTTGTAGCTCTCAAAAGTGTGGTTTATTATTTAGATAAGGTATTAAATTGTATTACCCTTTATGATTGATTTTTCTTTCTCAAATTATACCACAAAATATTATCATTAAATGAGACCATAGTGTTGAGTTCATCTTCGTTTCTCAGGTGAGAAAATTAAAGACTCCCAATAGCCACGTGGTTGTCCAAAATTTTCTAGAAAATACTTTGCAACTTTATTTTAAAGTAAAAGCCTTTTGTTTTTAAATTTATAACTAAAACGGTCAAGTAAATTGTTTAGTACATTTCTAAAATTGTTAAAATTTGTTTTGGCCTGTTTGACCAAATGTGTGTGTTTTATATTTGTTACTAGCACCTAACTTATGTGGCCAACAGTCTTTGTCATTGCTATTTCAATAACAAATAATAAAAATTGGGGCTATCACTCAAGTTTGCCAGAACTTGACTATCAAATGCAGAGTTGCACTTATTACGATAATTGAATATATACTGTTGGTGTAATTAATGTTCTGCATTGCAGGAGGAGGATACTTTAAAAATGTGGTCAAAAATTTTGGTTTCTGAATATAAAATATCAGAATGTTCATTTCCTTTTTCACTGTTACACATATATCCTTAGTCATTGCAAAATAATGCCTACATCCTAAGCTAAGTGATTCATCAAACAAAGCAATACTTTTTGTGTTGTGTGAAAGTTTATCTACTCTGCCTCTCCCTAGTATCTGACACAGTTCACTATTCTCTCTTGTTTCTCTTCTGTGGCTGCTGAAACACCACACCCCTGACTTTCTTTCTACCTTACTGGTTGCTCTTTCTCTCTCTTTAAAATTGCTTTAAAGGTCTGTTTAAAGGTTGTTCTGTAGAGTTCTCAGGACTGAGTCATAAGCAGTTTGTCCCTGTGTTTAGTAATATATATTATACCTATAGAAAAGCTTATAAAACCTGTAACTGTATTTTGAATCACTCATGTCATTACCACCTGGATTAAGAAATAGAGTATTTACACATAATGAAGAAGCACCCTCTGTGGCCCTCCTCATCAGTTGCCTTCCTGTTCTCCCTGGCCCAAGGTAACCACAGTCCCAAATTTGATGATAATCATTCTCTGTTTTTTCCCTTTGTTTTCTTTTTTTTTGTTAACCATGTATTATGCCGCCCTAAATGCTACTTTTTAACCCTTTCAAAACCCAGTTATTTTCTGCTTTGAATGTTTTGTCGATACCATGTATTTTAATTAATGGAAGCATACCGAATCATTGAGTGTGTCTGAATTTTTGAGATTGTGTGGATTTTTTTCTCACCTACTCCCACAGTCCTTCTCTCAGAGTACAGTGGTACATATGTGTACCCCTAATTCTATCCCCAGTGTTCAGAGGCCCATATGTGTACCTCTTAAAAAATTTTCAAAACCCATATTTTACCCTAAAAAAAATATTGATTCAGCATCACCTCATACCAAACCCATTGCTGTCGAGTTGATTCCGACTCACACCAACCCTGTAGGACAGAGTACACTGCCCCGTAGGGTTTCCAAGACTAAATCTTTATGGAAACAGACTGCCACATCTTTCTCCTGTGGAGTGGCTGGTGAGTTCCTTTCAGTTAGCAGTTAGTGAGTGACCTTTCAGTTAGCAGCTAAACACTTTAACTACTGCACCACCAGGGCTCCTCTCACCTCATACAGTACCCTGTAAAAACAGTAATTTGCAGCACATGCCTGTTTCTTCAGTTTCAAACAGTGGTGAAGGCCCCCACCTTGGGGCAGCACACACTGTCAGTGGGAAAACAGCTTCCCAGTAAACCCCGGAGGCTGAAAAAGTCAGTGGTCACCGTGTGTACCATGGGTAATGGAAGGGTAAAATTTTTCACATCTCTTCAGGATTTTATCTGAACAGAATCATGCTGTTTGTTTTCTTTTGCACATTTTTTCTTTAACTCAGCATTATTTTTTTGATTCATCCATACTCATACATATGGCTATGGTTCTTATTACGTTTTTCTGATTACTGATGAGGTTGTACATACTTTTGTTTGTTTATTGGCCATCCTAAAGAATTTTCTGTTCAGATCTTTTGCCTATTTTTGTGTTTGGATTCTTGTTTTTTCTTGTTGATTTGTAGGAATTCTTTATGTATTCCATATACTAGTCCTTTTTTGTTGTGTGTGTTGCAAATAGTTTTTCCCAATTTGTGACTTAATGCTTTATTTCCTTCATGGTATTTTTATGTAGACAGATTTGTTTGTCATTTCCTTTATGTTTATGCTTTTTTGGTATCTTATTTAAAAAATCCTCCGCTATCCTGAGATCATAAAAATGTCTACTTGTATTCTAAAGTTCTATAGTATTTTAGTAACTTTATTTTGAAATAATTTAAGTTGTAATGATAGTACAAAGAACTCCCTTATGCCCTTCATTCAAATTTTGCAGTTGTTAACATGACACATTTGCTTTATCATCTCTTTGATTATATGTTTGTGTATGTATATACGTATAATATGTACAAATATATACATGTACATTTTCCTGAACCATTTGAGAGTAAGTTGCAGGCATGACACACCTTTACTTCTAAATAGTGTGTATTTTCTAAGGACAAAGACATTCTTATCTCAATGCCTTTCATTTTATTAAAATCAGGAAGTTATCATTCATACAGTTCTACTGTCTAATCCATAAACCTTTTTAAACCTTTGCCAATTGTGAAAATAATGTCGTTTATGACAGAATTTTTTTCTAGTAAGAATACAAACTAACATCAGACTAATTCATTTGTTATGTCCCGTTAGAGTCCTTTAATATGGAACATTTCCTCATTCTTTGTCTTTTATGGCCTTTGCATTTTTGAAGAGCATGTTTAATCGTTTTATAGAATATCTCTTAAATAGGGATGTCTGATTTTCCCTCGTTGGTGTTAATGCATTTTTTGTCAGAAATACCACAGAAGTGATACCTCTTTTTCAGTTCATCACATCTGGAGGCATCACATCATGTCAGTTTATCCTATTCCTTATGGTGTTAACTTCGATCACTTGGTTAAGGTAGTGTTTGCTAGATTTCTTCCCTTAAAGTAACTGTTTTTTCCCTTTGTAATTAATTTGTAGGGAGATACTTAAAGACTACGAATGTAGAAATCCTGTTTCTCGTCACTTTTCACCCATTTGTTTAGCGTCAACTGCCAGAATCAGTTGTCAATGTGATGGTTGCTATATGGTGATTTATTAATCCCATCATTCTTTCTACATTTATTAGCTGGCCTTCTATTATAAAGAACTTTTTTCTCGTCTTTCCCTCCCATTTATTTATTTATTCATGTCAGTATGGAATCGTAGACTCTTATTTTATCCTAGGGTTGTAATTTCTTGTTACCAGTATTCATTTTATGTTCAAATTGTCAAAGATTTGGCCAGTTGGGAGCCCTTTCACAGTGGCCTATGTGTCCTTTTGACATGCCCCCATTGTTGAGCGCTAACTTACTTTTGGCACAGGATATTCCAGATCTTCTTTACCTTCCTTGCCCCAGGCCTGAAATCAGCCATTACTCCAAGGAGCCCAGCCTGGTTCTTTTCAGTGGAAAATGGTATTTAGAAATTAGTATCTAGGCATTAGGTGTGCTCAGTGCTAATGGAGCATCATTCCTTCTGGGTACTCTAACTGAACGTGGCTAGGATATGTGTGTATGTTTCATACATTTCTCTCTGTATATGTGTTTAAAAAAAACCACATATTTAAACTGATACCTCCAATACCAGTCTAGTACCCCTTCACATTAGTAACTCCCTTCTGTAAGATTTATAAATCTGGTTCCCATTACCCTCAACATATTTAGAATTGCTAACTCATACCACTGACTTGGGCTTATTATTTGTTTGTAGCTTTGTTTTTCATTAGTCTGGGGGATTATATTTATATATAAATATCATTTTTAGTTAAAAATAGTTTACAATTTAAAGTTACTTGTTGTTTATATTCTAATTTAGATACATAGTCCACCAGGAATTTGTGTATGGTGTGAGGTGGGGATCTGGTTTTATTTTTTCCACACGGTAGTCAGTTGTTCTAGCATTATTTATTGAAAAGTCATTCCTTTCTTTACTGATCATCACTGCCACTTCTCTCATATACTGAATTTACATAAATGTATGGTGATTTTTCTGGGCATTCTTCCATTAATCTAGGTATCTTTCCCTTTGTCATTACCACAAGTCTTGATATCTGATAGAGTAAATCCTTTTATCTTATTCTTTAAGAGTATCTTGGCAGTTCTTGATCATTTGCAATTTGTATGAATTTTAATATTAACTTATCAAGTTCCTCAAATAAAAAACTTACTGAGATTTTTATTGAGATTATGTTGAATTTATAAATCAGTTAGAAGATAATTGAAATCTTTATAATAGGGTCTTTACGTCTTTAAACAGTGTACACCTGTACATTCCTGTGAGTGTTCTTTAATGTCTTTCCGTAAAGTTTGGTGACTTTTCTCCCATAAAGAGTTGCATACTTTTTGTTAGATTTATTTCTAAAAACTTCATACTTTTTTTTTTTTTTTGGTATAGCATAGTGTAGTAGTTATGGACTGTACTTTTTGTATTGTAACTCTGGATCTATTACTTATGAGTTGTGTTACCCCAGGCAAATTGCTTAACTTCTCTGCACTTCTGTGCACATCTGTTACAAAAGGATAATAATTGGACCTGATAGAGTTGTGATGAAGATTAAATGTGTCTAATATACAGAAAGAGTTTAGAGTGGTGCTAAGTGCTATATGAATTTGAACTATCAGTGTTGCTTTGTTTTCTGTCGTTAATACATAGAAGTACAGTGTTGTCTCTTGTTTTCATATCCAAGAATCTTCATAGACTCTTAATAATTCTAATAATTTGCCTGTGGATTCTTTTGAAATTTCTGTGTACATGATCATGTCATCTACGAATAATGAAAGTTTGCATCATCTAATTTAATTTCAAAATTTAACATAAAGCCGGAATAATCAAGAAAGTTTAGTAGTGGCAAAAGGATAGATATATAGATTAATGGAGCAGAATAGATAATCTAGAAATAGACCCACACAAATTGCCAGTGTATTTCACTGGGGAAGGAAAATCTTTTCAACAAATGGTTCTAGTACAAATGGATATCTGTATTTGGGGGTGGGAGGGGAAACATTGATTATTATCTCACATCATACTGACAAATAAACTGGAAATGGATCTTAGACTTAAATGTAAAACTTAAACCTTCAGAATTTTTTTAGATAGAACACGAAAAGCACAAACCATACAAAGAAATAATTTATACATTGTACATCAAAATTTTAAAGTTTCACTGCTTTAAAAAACACCATCAGGAAAACCAAAAGGTAAGCCACAGACTTGGAGGAAAATATTTATAACACATATATCAGACAAATGATTTATATAAAAAAAAGAACTTTTACAGTTCAATAAAAAAGGAGCTCTGGTGGTGCAGTGGTTAAGTGCTTGGCTGCTAACTGAAAGGTCGACAGTGCAAACCCACCAGCTGCTCTGCAGGAGAAAGATGTGGCATTCTGCTTCTGTAAGGATTACAGCCTTGGAAACCCTGTTGGGACAATTCTGCTGTGTCCTGTAGGGTTGCTATGAGTCGGAATCAACTCAGTGGCAACGAGTTTTTGACAGTTCAGTAATAAGAAAACTAAGCTACCAGTTTGAAAAATAGGCCAAACATCTGAAGAGATGTTTTACCAGAGGTGATGTAGAAATGGCAGTAAGCACATGAAAAGATGCTTAGCCTCACTAGTCATCAGGAAATGCAAATTATAATCATAATATGATATTACTACATGCCTGTTAGAATGGCTAAAATTAAAAACACTGACCCTTCCAAGGATGTGGAGAATCTGTAATTTTCATATCCTGTTAGTGGCAGTGTAAAATGGTATAACCACTTTGGAAAAGAGTTTGGCAGTTTCTTAAAAAATTAAATGTTTATCCACAGTATGACCTAGCAGTTCTACTCATGGGTATTAACAGGTGGATGGCTAAATAAAGTGTGGCATATCCATGCAACAAAATCCTATTGAGCAATGAAAAGGAATAAACTACTGATAAGTGCAAGAACATTATGCCAAATGAAAGAAGTCAGAGAAAACATGTTGAATGAAAGTAACCAGACAGAAAAAGTACACCTACTGATTCTTTTTATACATAATTCTACAAAGTGTAAACTAATTTATAGTGACAAAAGTAGATCAGTGGTCGCCTGGGGACAAAATTCAGAGGGTGAAATGGATTGCAAAGGGACATGAAATTTTTGAGAGTGATGGCAGTGTTTGTATCTTGGTTGTGGTTTCACATGTGTAAACATACATCAAAACTCATATTGTACCCTTTATGAATGTACAGCTTATTGTATCTAAATTAGAAAAGAAAAATAAGTCACATCATTTCACTGTAATGCCGACAACCCCCTAAAGACTCCCCATTTCTTTTAGCGTAAACCTACATGTCCTTACATTGGATTGCAAGACCCTATACCATTCACCTCGCTTTTTCCTCTTTAACGTCATTTTCTTCAACTCTCTCCCCTAACTCCTTCTGTTCACTGTACTGATACGCTTAATGTTTCTCAAACGTGCCAGGTATGTTCCCACCTTCAATCATTCCACTGGTTATTCCTTCTGCCTGGGGTCTTTTCCCCTAGATATCTTCAGAGAGGTTTTGCTCATGCTGCCTTCTTTGACCTATCCTGACCATTTCTATAAAACCTGCTGCTACTCTTCTGCCTCACCCCCATTCATAACCTCCTATATTATTGTCTTCGCAGGTTTTAAAAACTACTCCCTTCCCCACCAATCTTAGTGGTTTACAGTGATTAACATTTATTTCTCTCACATGACTTGTTGGCAGTGCTGAGTCAGCTATTGCAGTTCTCCACATGTCTTTTTCATCTAGGGCCCAGGCTGAAGGTATCACCCCTATTTGAGACATGGCATTCTTACGGCAGAGAGAAAATAAGAGAGCTGATGTAAACTCAGAATGCCTCTTGAAGCTTCTCTGTAGAGTTGACATATGTCATGTCTGCTTATATTCCTTAGCTAAAACATGTCACATGATCCAGCCCAGTATGAATTGCAGGAGGCAGCGCAAGTCATTGACTGGCCAGGGTTATATGGAAGGGGGTGAGGGAGCAAGTGAATACCTGGCAACAGTAATACAATCTACCATACCTCCCTTCATGTTTAACTAATTAGACTTCTTAGCATAAATTTCCTTAGTTGCTCATAACTATTTTGAAGCTTCTTGCTAAGCTCTTTTTCTTTAAAACATTTTTTTATCTTTTCCATTAACTTCCTCGTTTTTGCCTTAAATATAGTTCTGTCCGGTGTAAAAATGAATCCTTTTATCTGTGATCTTGAGCCTACTTGAATGTAAGTTTAGCAAGGACAAAGATTCTTACGTTCTTTGTTTAGTGCTTCCTCAGCACTAGAGGAAAGTTTTGCTCTGTCTTAGTTATCGGGTGCTGCTATAATAGAAATACCATAAGTGATGGATGGCTTTAACAAAGAGAAATTTATTCTCTCACAGTCTAGGAGGGTAGAAGTCTGAATTCAGGGTGCCAGCTCTAGGGGAAGGATTTCTCTCTGTGTCAGCTCTGGGGGAAAGGTCCTTGTCATCAGTCTTCCCCGGGATTAGGAGATTCTCAGTGCAGGGACCTGGGGTCCAAAGGACGCGCTCCCCTCTTGGTTCTTCCTTCTTGGTGGTAGGAGGTCCCACTCCTCTCTGCTCAATTCTGTCTTTTATATCTCAAGAGAGATTGACTCAGGATACAACCCCATCCCGTAGATTGAGTCCTGCCTCATTAACGTAACTGCCTCTAATCCTGCCTCAATAACATCATAGAGGTTAGGATTTACAGCACATTGGATAATCACATCAGATCACAAAATGGTGGACAACTACACAATACTGGGAATCATGGCCTAGCCAAGTTGACACACATTTTTGGGGGACACAGTTCAATCCATAACAGGCTCATAATATGTTTTCAGTAAATGTTTGTTGAATGTATTCCATTGTCCCTTCTTATTTTGTCAATTATGCCCGGTTCGTGTATCTTCACTGGCTATCAGTTCTGTCTGCTAGCTCTGTCCCCGAATCTCTTACGGCTGTATTTTCTTGAACTATTATAAGTCAGAGCTCTGGTGGTGCAGTGGTTAAGAGCTTGGTGGCTAACCAAAAGGTTGGCAGTTCTAATCCACCAGCTGCTCCTTGGAAACCCTATGATGCAGTTCTACTCTGTCTTACAGGGTTGCTATGAGTCGGAATCAACTCAGTGGCAATGGTTTTTTGTTTGTTTATTATAATAAGTCAGTTACATATTTAGTAAATTACATTAAATAATTCTCTTTAGTGAAGAGTATAAAATTATATGAGCTTTTAACTCCTCTGGAAAATATATCGTATATACTTCTGCCTGTGAATACATATCTCCCTAATATTTAAAAACAAACAAACAAAAAACCTCCCGTTCACTTTTGCAATCTTACTTCTCACCATTGGTCTAAAACTATTCCCTTTACCTTTTTCATTTCTCATTCTCTTTGACTTCTATTGAGACTTCCCCCTCCCTCCTTTGAAACTCTCTTCTTCTAGATTCTGAGGGACTGTAATTCACTGATATTTCTATTTTTAAGTTTGTTTTCTTTTCCTTAGGATGTTGCTCTTCCTTCTACTAGCTGGTAATCCCAGGCTCAATCTTGTTGCTCCCTTCATCTTGTCTTGTGCCTTTTTAGTGGCAGTCTCATTCACAGGACTTTCGTTAGACCATTTGGAGCACATTTGTGTTTATACTACTAGACCCTCAGCATATTTACATCCTGCTATTCATCATTTTAGTTTGTAAACTTCTCAAAGGCTAGGATTTTACCTCGTATTTCTTTTATCAGCCCAGTACCCCATAGATAAAGTAAGATTTAATAAGTATTTGATAATTTTCATATCGAAACAAGGCTTTAAATAAGGGCAAGAAGCTCAGCCTAATCCAGAACTTTAAAAACCCACGGTGTAGATAAGCTGTACCCTTAAACCTTAAACCCAGTTGAGAGGAGTTAGTCTCTGAAGTGACAGAGGGAGTTTACTTACACGTTAGGGATCACCTATTGAACAGATCTTCACCTTAGAACAGAATGTCTTTTTCAGTGATATACTTTAATAACTACATTTATAGAAGGTAGTATATTAATTTTAGCTTCTCTTCCTCTTCAGGTGCACCAGGTATAATCTCCTCACCATATGCAGGAGCTGCTGGATTTGGCCCAGCCATTGGATTTCCTCAAGCTACAGGTGACTATTTTAAAATTGAATTTAAAACTATTTTTTAATAAAGTTCTACATTTTGAACTTACACGGTGAAAAAATGTATTTGAAGGATGCACAATAAGAGCATTATGTGCATCAACCATACATTTTACAAGGAATTCTCTCTGGTTCCAGTCTCAGCTCCATTAATATCATTGTATGGTCAGCATCATCTGTACTTGCCATTGGTAACTATAGGTTCACTACATTAAATAACCTTAGATTTGCCTTTGAGTTATGGTATAAAATGTATAAGCTGCTTCTGTCTTGCTGATAAGCTTTTCAATTGTGCATTGAACAGACTTATGTCTTATTTATTTTTGTGTCCTCATTGCCAATGATTAGCACTCAGTACATAGTATGCAGTCAATATATATTTGAATTAATAAATATTTACTATTCAACTTCTTTAGAAAGCCTCTTTGTCATTATTGAGTTCAGATTACACCATAAAAGGGTGTGCATGCTGTTTATTTCGGGGGATATATTTTTTTTTTTTCCTCTTTAAGTAATGGAGATAATTAAGAGATAGTAGTTGGTTAATACTTTCATAATGACTTCTCTTTTCCAAATATAAAAACTAATTTGATCATAACGAGAAAAAAAAATTACTTTGTAGTTTTGTCTCTGGTGCTGAAGGATAGCACTCTGAGGTTGGTGATTATGGGGCGTGGCATAGTGTTAAGCCCATTGTATATGTTGTATTTCTAGCTTCCAGCTAATTGGCGAATACAACTCTAATCTTAAATTGCAACATAGCTGCTTTCTGACAATAATCTTTATATCCTACCCCTCTAATTCTGAGAATTTGAACTATTTCTTTGAGAAAGAAGATGGTATTAAATAGAAAGGAAAGTGTGATATGAAGGTTGAGGTTTAAATTTTAGTTTTTTGGCAGCTTTAAGACATCTTAATATATGTTTAATTAAGGAAGTACTTCTATATATCCCATTAAAGTAGAGGCATTATACATAATTTTTATTTATTTGAAGCATATGAAAGTTTAATTGATAGGCATTTGGAAGTAGTGATGGTTTTCCTCATTTTAGATATTTTGGTTAATTTCTTAATGTATCTGATTTTATGGTGGAAGTCAATATGAAAATTACATCCACTTTATAAAAATGTACTAGAATACATCTATTACAAGAAACAAAGGGAGTACAGGCAGTTCATCGGTTACAGTTGAGATCTGTTCCTAACTATGTCTTTAAGTCGAATTTGTAGGTAAGTCGGAACAGGTGCATACTGTTCTTATTTAGCCTTACTTTAGTGCAGTGATTAAGAGCTTGGCTGCTAACCAAAAAAGGTCAGCAGTTCGAATCCACCAGCTGCTCCTTGGAAACCCCATGGGGCAGTTCTACTCTATCTTGTAAGGTTGCTATAAGTTGGAATTGGCTTGATGGCAGTGGTTTGGGTTTAGGTTAGTGTAAGAAAAAGCTTGAAGCCTTTTCAGTGAATTAAAAGCTACACGTGCGTCAAGTGAAAAGTGATTGTGATGAAGAATTTGTTGCGAGTAGCAGTTGGTTCACTCGTTTCAAAATGAGGGCGAATTTACATAACATAAAAGGGCAAGTTGTCCCTAAGTCACACATTCATAATCTGGGGACTGCCTGTACTTGTAGTTGATAGACCCTCAAAAAAAAGTCTAATGGCTTTTAACACCAGTGAGTTTACAGAGTACCCTGTGAATAATACAGTACTGCGTATGACGCCAACCAATAAGGAACTCAACTTCCAGATAGACTCTGTAGGACAGAAGACTGGCCATTGATAGCCTCATGGTAGCCGTTGTACATTTTCTTCTATATTTTTGCTTTTGTCTTCATTTATTTATTTAAGTTATATTAAGTGTTACAATTCTTTAGATAACTAGCATGTGAAATGCTTTTGATGTTTTAAAAGGTCTTTCAGTCTCTGCTGTTCCTGGAGCCCTTGGTCCTCTTGCAATCGCCTCTTCTGCTGTCACTGGAAGGATGACCATTCCTGGAGCTGGTGGCATACCAGGAAATTCTGTTCTACTTGTCACCAATCTCAATCCTGATGTGAGTTGAAAAGTATTATATGTAAATAGGCATTCAGGAGGAGGTATAGTAGCTTATGATGTAGGGTTGAAATCAAATTAAAATGTATATTTTAAGGATTTTATGAAAACTCATCACTAGTATATACAGAAGAAGCATATAAAATTAGTGGTTTAAACAAAATCGCCTGTTGTTATTACATTATAAGTAAACTTATTTTAAATTTTTACTTATAATATTTAGTCAGACACTTATGTTTTTTGTAATCCTTTCCAAACAGCTTATCACACCACATGGGCTTTTTATCCTATTTGGTAAGTTCATTTTTGCTATTTTTAATATTATCTTTAAATGTGAGTTTAGTATATTTGTTCATTCAGTGGTATTTACTGATTATCTGTATACCAAGCAGTGTGTTTGACATTGAGGATAGAGCAGTGACTAAGACTTAACAAATAATTACAGTAAGAAGTTTTATAATAGGGGAAATACAGGTTGTAATGGGAACATATAACAAGGGGACCTAACCTAGCAGAGGAATCAAGAAAGACCTACCTACTTGGGGAAAATGAGTAAGAGTTAGCCAGGCAGAAAGGGAGGGAAAATATATTTTTACACATAATAATGGTGAGAGAGAGATCCTGGTACATGAAAATGAAGGAAGTCCAGTGGAGAATGTAAAGGAGACATATGATGAAGCTGGACAGATGGATGGGGCAAGGTCATACAGGGCTTTGTAAGCTGTATTAGAGTTTGGTTTTTAACTTGAGAACAATGGAAAGCTGTTGAATAGTTTTAAGCACCAGCGTGCCATAATGAGATTTCTGTTTTCAAAATACACCCATTCCTCACTTATCAACACGGTTAGGTTCTAAAGAGCAGGTCATTATGTGAAAATCAGCGTTATGCAAAAATGGAGGATGACCACATCAGATCACAGAATGGAAGATGACTGCATCTTTACATAACTGCCAAATTATGTCATTACGTAACTGCCAAACCACTGAGAATCATGGCCCAGCCAAGATGACACATAACCTTAACCATCAAGCAAATGTTAACTCCTGCCTTGCACCTCGGCATTCATTACTGCCAGACATACATCATTAATACGCAAAATAATGAGATAGTAGATTTTTTACTATTGTTGTAAATTCAGAATGTTGGATGATGAGATAATCGATAAGTGAGGAGTAGGTGTAGTGTCCAAACTTTATAATGATATTCTCCTCTCAGTAAAAAAAAATAAAAATTTAGCATGTACTCCTAATCTATATATGGTTAATTAAGTAATTATATGGGTCAATATGGTGGCTACAACAATAGGCTCAAACATACGAACCATTGTGAGGATGGCCTAGGCCCTAGTGTGTTTCATTCTGTTATACATAGGATCTCCATGAATTGGAACAGACATGGTGGCAACTAATAACAATTAATTATTAATTGTATCCATCTTTTACTATGCTCGTTATGCATAGCCGTAATGTGCCCACAAGCAGAAGTACAATAAATGAGAAAGCAATGAAACAAGCAATATTTAACATTTAAAAGATTTTTATTAATAGAAAACCTTTTTCTCATAAAAAACAGCGTTCAGTAAGAAATAGTATTTAATGTGCTTCATTATTATTTGAAATCTTCATTTTTGATTTTGTTTTAGTATTCAGAGTCTTTATTCTAAATTCACTTTATTTAAATACTTGATTTTAATGGTTGTCATGAATGAAAAAGATACCAATCTAAGTGGAAGTATTTCATTGTTCGGTACTAATTATACTTTTTTCTGTGTAATGTACTAATTTTTTGTTATGCTTTGTCTCATTTTACCTGTTGTTAAATCAGTTGATCTTATAAACTGTTGCATTTGAATATTTTTAACAAATGGGTTAAAACTCACTGGTACTCTTCATCTGGAGGATTTTTAAATAGGATAGAAAATTGTTTCTAAGTTTTTTGAATGGGTAAAACTTTCTTTTAAAAAAACAGCTTTTTTGAGGTATAGCTTACAACCATACAATTCATCTGCTTTGGGTATAAAACGCAATGGTTTTTAGTAAATTTACAGAATTTTGCAACCATTGCTACTGTCCAATTTTAGAACATTTCCAGCACTCCAAAAAGATCCTTCATGCTCATTTGCAGTCAATGTAAAAGTTTTTATTCATGACACATTTTATGTAATTTTTAGTAACAAAATCATGAATTAATGGAAACATTTTCATATGCCTGTTTTCTAGCCCTGTAAAGCATGTTTCTTTCTAAAAGTAATAGATTTTTCACTCATTTAAAAATATCACCCTCACCTCGAAAACAAATTGTGTTTAGTTTTTTAAAAAGTATCTACTTCAGCTACTTGTCATTTCCGAGAAGGGCAGCAAATTTGGAACAATTGTCTTTTTGTTTTAAAAAATATATATATATGGACCTCTCATCTCTAATTCAGTTGCTCTTAGGTGTTTGTCTATGAGATAACCACCACTCCTGTGTATCTTAAAATTTTTCGTAGTCATTCTCCCATTGCATTACAGAGTATGGTAATGATTCTACTATTTAAAGGTCTTATTTTTATAATATTGATCATATTCTGGCACATAAACTACAATTTATTGCATTACACTAAATGCAAAAAAATGAGCGTGCATGCCCTTCACATTGTAGAACTTCCTGCCTATAATTTCATCAATATAATAAAAATTATTTTTAAAAATGAATTTTTTCCATATTGTTTTATATACCATATACATTTTTATTTTATTGTGTTTTAGGTGAAAGTTTACAGTGCAAGTTAGTTTTTTCATTCACAGATTTATACACAACTTGTTTTGTGACATTGGTTCCAATCCCCACAGTGCATCATCACTCTTCCCCTTTCGCTTTCCACCGTGGATTTGCCGTGTCCATTCATCCAGTTTTCCTGTCCCTTCCTGACTTCTCGTCTTTGCTTTTGGGCAGGTGTTGCCCATTTGGTCTCCTATACTTCATTGAACTAAAAAGCACGTTCCTCACGTGTGTTATTGTTTCTTTTATAAACCTGTCTAATCTTTGGCTAAAAGGTGGACTTCGGGAGGGGCTTCAGTTCTGAGTTAGTAGGGTGTATATACTGTTTTTCTGTGAAAATAATGTGCATCTTCTATGCTTGTTTACCAACCTCTCCTTCCCCCTGTGAGGTATTTTCATAAACATACTATGCTAATTTTGACATAGTGGCCATCATGAAAATACCTCATGCACTTAATGAAAATACTTCACAGGGGGAGGGAACAGTTGGCAAACAAATGTAGAAGGTGCACATTATTTGCGTAAAAATACAGTAAACCGATCAGTACCAAGAAAAAATCCGTTGCTGTCGAGTCAGTTCTGACTCACTGTGAACCCTGTAGGACAGAATATAACTGCCCCTAAACTCTAATGGCATAGTGGTTAAGAGCTACGGCTGCTAACCAAAAGGTCGGCAGTTCAGATCCACCAGGCGCTCCTTGGAAACCGTGTGGGGCAGTTCTACTCTATCCTGTAGGGTTGCTATGAGTTGGAATTGGCTCAACGACAGCGGATTTGGTTTTTGGTTTTTATAGAGTTTCGAAGGAGTGGCTGGTGGATTTGAACTACTGACCTTTTGGTTAGCAGCTGAGCTCTTAACCACTTCGCCACCAGGGCTCCAAACAGATCAGTATAAGTAAGAATTTCATTATTTTATTCCCAATCACCAGTGAATCATTTTGCATGTCCTGTGGGATATGGAACTCACTTTGGGGAACACTAGAAAAATTAGATATAATGAGATCAATTAGGAGGCTGTTGTGGTAGTGCAGATGTGAAACGGTGATGATAGCTTTGATGGTAGTGAGTATGGACACAAGTGGACAAATGTGAACGATATTTAGGTCATAGAATCAATGGATGTTTGTGATTGATTGGATGTAAAGGTTTAGGTAAAGGTAGAAGTTAAAAGATGGCTTCTAGGTGTCTGACTTGCACAACTGTGTAGATGGTGGTACCGTTCGCCCACAGAGTTAGTCAACACTGGAAGTGAGGAGATGAATCTGTTTGGAACATGTTAAGTTTGAAGTGCTTATGGGACGTCCAAGTGAAAAAGGATCAATTAGATTAATTGATCTGGAACTTGGGAGAGATAACAAAAATGGGAGCATACATATGAAACTGCTCAAGGAGAGTATGTAGTATAAGAAAAAATGCCTTCTTTAAATGTATTTAATAAAATCAATTAAACATTCTATAATCAGGCACTAAAAACTTGTTTTTTTATTTAATTAGGAGTGTATGGTGATGTACATCGAGTGAAGATTATGTTTAATAAGAAAGAAAATGCCTTGGTTCAAATGGCAGATGCAAACCAAGCTCAACTAGGTACTCATGATGAATGATGATAATGATAATCGGCTCTTAGTATGTGTGAATTTTCCTTCAAAATAAGCAAATGAATAGCTAGTAGGGATATAATTTTACAGAATAGTACTTTTTTTATGCTCATGTCTCCATTATTATTTTGACTTGGCTTATATAGTTTAAGATTAAAAAATATTTTTGACTCTTTGGAGCTTATTTATCTACTTGAACATATTGTTGATGTTTAGAGTTTTGACTGTAGGATTTTTCCATTAGACTAGTAAATGTAACTTGTTTTGTTTTATTTGTTTGTTTTCCTTCCAAATTAAGTTTTCTAGAACTGTTGAATGGCTATTATAAGGACTACTAAAATATTACTACTGCTGTTTTTTTAAAATGCTTTGCTTGAGATGAAACTAATAGATTCCATAAGCGTTTACTGAGCACTTACGATCTTCTAGCACTCTGCTCGGATGGTAGTTATTTCTTGTTCTGTTTGGTTGTTTTTTTTTTTAAATGCTGTTAGTATAGTAAAATCAAGTCATTTAATACATTTCCTAGTGTAATAGCTTTTTGGATGTTCAGACCATTTTAATCTTCGAATGGACAATATAATTTTAAATGACTAAATAAAAAGAATTTTTGATAACTTAGATATAACAGGATCTGTCTTAATACCCAAACTTTGTTTTTTTCCTGTATACTAGCAATGAATCATCTGAGTGGTCAGAGACTTTATGGAAAAGTGCTTCGTGCCACACTGTCCAAACATCAAGCAGTTCAGCTTCCTCGAGAGGGACAGGAAGACCAAGGTCTGACTAAGGATTTCAGCAATAGTCCTTTGCATCGCTTTAAAAAGCCTGGCTCTAAAAACTTCCAGAATATCTTTCCACCATCAGCCACTCTGCATCTTTCCAACATCCCGTATGTATTTACTTAGTTGTTGTTCATTTAGATAATTAATATTATAAAATATATGGCTTGGGAGAGATAATAAACTCTGAAATTATTCTGACTTAGGAGTTGTTCTGGTCACCAGTTTCTGTGAAATAATAGCTTATATGGCATAATGCATTTAAGAAGATTATCTCTTCAGACATATACTCCAAAAGTGAAAGATATCAGTATTTTAAGTTTCTTTCCAAATAGAGAATTAGCAACTACAGGTAGTCCCTGACTTAGGATGGAGTTCTGTTCCTACGACTCTCATAAATTGGTTCTGATGTGAGTTGAATACCTTTTTTGTTTTTAGTTTTCACTTTTGTTGCCTTTTATTATCAGTATCTTTTTTATAAATCTGATCTTTGAACATCTGCAGTGAACATCCGAGAATGCGAACATCAGCAAATTATGCACTGCAACGTTGTATGTGGTACATGCTGCTAACCATAAGATGTACCAAGAAAAACCAGACCTAAGTGTGGTTCATCGTAACTTGAATATGTTGTAAGTTGGGGACTACCTGTAGTTATTTTTCAGTTATTAAAGGGTATAAAAGTAAGTTTCTGCAGAAATATTCCATTGGTACCTACTTGTCCATCCTTTTGTAGAAGACTCTTAAATAGCCAATATAACAAAATCAAATAATTGATGTATCCAAGAATGTGTTTAAAAATTCTTTACCTTTTTTATCTCCAAGCAATAATGCCATATACATAAACTACTGAAAAGCTAAAAATTATTTTCACATGGCCACTATATAGGTCTCTTTGTTGTTAGCTATTGTTGTAGTTGACTTGTTCTTTAGTTATCTTCTAACCCAGGAGTTGACAGACTACAGCCCATGGGACAGATCCATCTGTTTTTATTTGACCTGTGAGCCAAGAGTAATTTATACATTTTAAAATGGTTGAAAAAAATCAAAAGGAGAATATTTTGTGACATGAGAAAATTAAATGAAGTTCCTATTTCGGCGTCCATAAATAAAATTTCATGGAACACAGCCACACTCATTTATTTACATGTTATCTGTGGCTGCTTTTGTGCTACAACAGTAAAGTTAAACAGTTGCAGCAGAAACTGCGTGGCCCACAAAACCTAAGATATTTACTCTCTGGCTCTTTACTGAAAACATCTGCCAAACCCTGTTCTAATGCTTGAAATCTTTGACCTATGAAAAATGGCAGTTTTGTATAGCTTAAACTAATTCATGAAGTGCGGTAAGCTTTGGAAAGGAGGGGTAGATGTGTGTGTGTGTGTGTGTGTGTGTGTGTGTAAAAAGGCTGAGGGAAGGGAGAAGAGTAAAGTTCTGAAACGTTGAGAATCAGAATGGGAGCTGACTAGGAATAAAAATGATTGCTCAATTATCACACAAAAAAAAACTGTTCCATAAATAATAATAATTACTCAAAATAGTATTGAATGCTTAGCCTCCCATCTAGTCTCTAGTTAGTCTGCATGGACAAACCTTGAATCTGAGCTGGGCAATGAAGCAAACGTCTTGTCAGCTAGAAAACTTGGAGGAATCATTTAAGAAAAAAAATGTTAGATTACATGGATCTAGAAAATTAGCAGCTCATCAGTATGGAGGCAAGTATATGGACATAATATTTAGATATTGAGGCAATCTTTGTTACCTTCTTAAATATAATGTATTATGTAGGCTGGTCTCCAGTTGCAACCTGCATAGGACCTTAGGACCTTTAATTAGAAGAGGGAAAGAACATATTTTGAACCCTCTATCAAGTTCTGGGTACTTTGTTATTGCTTTACATATGTTACCTCATTTAATCCCCATAATAAAACCTTTTGAAGTATGATCATTAGTTTGATTTCATCAATGAAACTGAGAAACGACATACCCAGTGGGTGAGAAATAGAATGTGAACTCAGGTACGTCTCCCTGCAAAGCCAGTTACTGTTCTCCCACACCATCCTAGTGGCTGTCACAAGAAGATGAAGAAGAGTCTGCTTTTACTAAGTTGACTCCTGTGATAGACCACTGTATTAGTTATCTACTGTTGGATAATGGATCATCGCAAAACTTAGCATAACACAGTACTAAACATTCATCATCTTACACTGTTGCAGCGAGCCAGGAATCCAGAGAGTGGCTTAGTTGGATGATTTTGGCTGAGAGTCTCATAAGGTTGCATTTAAGGTGTCAGGCAGGGCTGCAGTCATCTGAAGGCTTGACTGGGGCTAGAGGATCTGCTTCCAAGGTGACAGAAACTCTTAGTTTCTTGCCACGAGGACCTCTTCATAGAGCTGCTTGAGTATCCTCGTGAAATGACAGCTGGCTTCGTCCAAGAAATAGGACAAGGCAGAAATTGCACTGTCTCTATGACCTAGCCTCAGAAGTCACACATTGTCAGTTTTGCAATATCCTAATGATGACAGCAGGTATCCCTATTCAGTATGAGAGGAAATGATCCAAGAACGTGAATATTAGGAGGCAAGAATAATTGGGTACCATCTTAGAGTCTGGCTACCACATCCATCTCTTCAGAATTACCCTGAAAGCAGTTGAAAGTGTAGAACTCTAGACCATAGCAGACAAGTCAGAGCTAGGGAAGTATTAGAGTTAATTGCTGAAGCCAGTGGCATGGATAATAATCACTTTGAAAGAATAAATAATAGAAAGAATTTCTTGCCCTTTATGTACCTGTCCATGTCTTCTGCAGAGATTTGAAACAAAAATTCCATTGTATGAGGACATGTGTGTGTCAACCTTGAACACCTTTTGGGGCACTTGCAAATGATGTTTTTTTTGGTTTAGGTGAAAGTTTACAGAGCAAATTAGTTTCCCATTCAACAGTTTATACACAACTCATTTCATCACATTGGTTGCAAACCCCTCAGTGTGCCAGCACTTTTCCCCTTTCTCCCGGGGTTCCCCGTGTCCATTCGTCCAACCTTCCTGCTCGTACCTTCCTTCTGAACTTTACTTTTGGGCAAATGCTGCTCTTTAGGTTTCGTACAGTTGATTGTTCTGAGGTGTACACTCCTCACTGGTGTTATTGTTAATTTTATAAGCCTGTCTGTCGTATGGCTATAATGTGATCTCTGGGAGTGATCTCTCTTCCAAGTTTGAAGGGTGTCTAAGGCGAATCATGTTGTCATTGCATGGCTTAATTAGTCTCTGTCTGAAATGTGAAATAACTCTAGAGATTTGATGATCACCTAATCTTTGCTTCATTTGAGATTTGGAACTGAGATAGTTGACTTTACCTCTCTGTGATGTTTTCACAGCCCTTCTGTTACAGTGGATGATCTGAAGAACCTTTTCACAGATGCTGGGTGTTCAGTGAAGGCCTTTAAATTCTTTCAGTAAGTCCTTTTCAAGAAAGACATTAATGTTATTTAATGGGATACAAAATTTTTAAATAATTCAGTGAAGTCTTCTGGGGAAGGGGACAAGGAGGTTGGGAAGCAGAATTCTAAATATTTCTTCTATTATTTTCAGGAAAGATCGCAAAATGGCACTCATTCAATTGGGATCCGTGGAAGAAGCAATCCAGGCCCTCGTTGAGCTTCATAACCATGACCTTGGAGAAAATCACCACCTCAGAGTTTCCTTTTCAAAATCCACAATCTGACTTATCTGTGAATTTTTCTCCTAAGACTGGACCATAAATTCAGTAAAATCTTCAGACATAGACTGAAACAGCTCAAGACCAATTCTGCCTCTTTCACAGAAATAACTAAAAACTCTTGCTGAGTTTGATATTCAAGTATATTTAAAAAAAAAAATCAAGGGATATTCTTTTTTCCCCCTGCTAATATGTGATCAAAGGTTTGTTTTTCCTTTACACCACAGTTTCTTTGAAAATAACCTTCAGGAAAAAATATTTTTCAATAATTTAATTCCCTGTATTGAATTGAATTTCAAGAGGACAGATTTTCTTTTAGTTTGAGTCCAGATCCGCCTTATACAACATTTCTAAACTCCTTTCTACTTTGAGAAATTTAAACATATAGACTTTGATGTATGTGATTTAAATTACTTACAACCAAGTTTTTTAACTTTATGATTCTGAAATTTGACCTCTGTAGAAAATGAAGTTCATTTATAAATTATTTGCCATATATTAATAGTTGTTATTATTATGCATAGACAATTTGACTTGTATTAGAAGCAAATTTATAAACATGCATGTTTTCTTTCATTGTTTCTTTTTTCACTGGATGACACTCCTTTGAATAATGCACATATTTAACTTTTGAAGATTATTTGGAGAAATGAAGTGTCTCCACTGTCCCCAGGGAAATTAAGCAAGACTAACCAGGATCTATTAATGTGTCAGAATAATTAGTAATTTTATTAGGAAAAAATCATGTTTTAAATTTCAAAATGACACTTATTTGTCAAGTAATATAATATCTTGGAAAATTTAAAAGGAGAAATAATCCTACTTATAAACTACTTTTTTACAGTTGTTTTCAGAAAAAAGTTTACAGTCTTAAGGAAAATATTCAGGTCTATCATATGGTTTGACAGATTTTTTAAAAGTTATTTTTGGTAAGGTCTTCTTTTAGAAAAAAAAAAAATCTCAAGGGTTTTTTGTACCACTATAATCTCTAGTACTTATTCAGAATTACTGTGTATTTACTTAATTTCTTATTATGTGCCTTATTATGTGCTTATGATACAATAGGTTAGAGTTTTATCTAAGTATCTTGAAAGCTGTATTGTGGGCTTGTTGAGCATTTTCTTTTGCTTTTTTCTTTTCCCTGTTTTAGTAAGGATTTTAAAGATTTTTTTTCATTGCGATTTTAAATGGTTTTCAATAAGTAATAGTTTTTATTCAAATTTTTTGGTGCTTTGGTGCAGACATTGGGTGGGGGAAGGTGAGTGGTTTTCAGAATAACTCAGTGCACACCTGTAGGCCTCTTCACATTGTACCTGGTAGCAGTCATTGCCAGTTATAGCATTCCAATTTGGGATGTAAAATGTAAATTTATGAATCTTGTCTCATCTTTATCACCCATCAGAATTTGTCTCAGGATTACTTGTTTTTTTTCAGTACTTAAGTAAGAACTTGCGTTTTTCTTTGTTAGTGTAACTTTATTACTGATTACCCACATATTTGGAGTATGAGAAAGTAGATTATCTCCCCCTCCCTTCCTCTGGTTGACTGTTAAGAGTACATTTTAATGTTACTTCAGTGACTGTATAATGTAAGATTGTTTCCTTTTAATAAGAAACTTTGCTTTTGTTCATTGTTCCTTCAAAGCTTGATCAGATATTTTAAAAGCAGAATTTGTCGAAAGGATCATTTTTGTCTACCCCCTTTAAACTTTTTCAGATTCTCAGAGTGGCTTATCTCAGCTTTTACAAGAGTATCTCAATCTCTTTGTTACATTCCAACAATTAATTTGAACACAGGGAGGTTCTTACAAGAGAAATATTACAAAAAGAAGGAGACTGCAAGAGATACTATAAGTTGTTGAAAGCAGAATTCACCCAACACTGAGCAACAGTAGTTGGTAGAATAGGAAGGGCGACACTGAAGTGAGACCTTTCAGGTGGATCCATTTAGTTCTGGCTGAATAGATAGGTAGAAGGATTTATCTAGTTGGGTTTTTTTGTTTTTTGTTTTCCACTTACAAAATATAATTTTATCTAACACTGAGTAAGGGGAGGAAAAAAAAGTTTCTTTGAGAAATCTTCCAAAATTTGCTTCAGTTTTTTTTCCCACACTATTATAATTTTTCAGTGGCATGTTACATTGGACTATTTCACTTGTTTTGGTTAGGAATTACTATGTAATTTATTGAGTCATGATTCTTATTCAGTGTAAGTATAGCAAAAGTTACTGAGAGCAGGAAGGTGATCATAATGGTGTTGAATGTAATTTTGAAGCAGGGAATGGCCTTTAAATCTGAGAGAACATTTGAATCCTTTTCAGGGATTTGTGTATGTGTATAGATAAATGTATATACGTACATACACTCTTCTAATATTGTACATACACATGCACATTACATACATTTTAATTGACAAAATTAATCAAATTAAGATTTGGAAAAGTGGGATATTCTTCTTTAAAAATAGCGTGTTTGAAGCCATCAATTTGTGTCTAAAATTAGCTGTAGCACATGGATGTTGTCCATATTTGGCTATTTGCCCTTGAATTATAGAGGTCTACAGTCTTTGTGTTGGCATGGTTTCTGTAAAAATATAAAAAATCAGAGTGGTAGAAAAACTAGATCTGTGTATTTCTGTTTTGGCATGCATTTATTCCCTATCTTCTAAGCAATGGTTTTTCGCTGTTGATCTGTCATAGTATCCTATTTTTAAGTTTATTTACTTTAAGAAGTATTGTCTTAACACTTTTGGAGGTGTTTTGACTTTTACACAAAGTATATATATTCAGAACTTTAAAAAATAGCAGTACACATTTAACAATAGCAATTTATGCCAAAAAGTTCTACTTTGAGATTTAAATAACTTGAACAGCAGTACAATGTGCTTTTTGTAAAATACAAATAGAATGAGCCAGTTATCTTAATTGATAACTTACCAGAGAGTCAAATTACCCAGCAGCTCTTATAAAATGCCATAAATTCTTTGTTTAAGACTAAAAATTGTAATTAGTTATTTGGAGTGATGTGTCAGATTGCTGTTTAGAGCTGCAGATCTCACAGTTTTTAGAGACACAATTTCTGCTTGCCTAATTCCTTATCGGAGCAAGGCCTACTTTGGCTCTACCTAGGATAGTGATCAAGTTGAGTGTAGGTTTTGTTTCAGTTGATTAGAAGTAGCTCTCATGAGTGTCTCTGTGAGTTTCATACAAACTTTTCAAAGCCTCTGTGTCATTAAGCAGCAGTGTTTATACACTGAGTATATTGTCACACAGTTTCTCTTCTGTTCCCAGTAAGTATTTTCTGGACAAAAGATGACAAGCTTAGAAGTTTTTTTCCCCTCCAATGAGTCACTTAAAAACTCGTAAGTTTCCCAAACTATCAGCCTATCTGTTAGAAAACCTAATGTGTACTGCTATTTTTAAAATCAACAAGAGACAGCATGACTATACTTAAAAGCATTTTTCTTGGCCTTTCCTTTGTCTGTTGTTAAGTAGAATAAAACTGCCAGACTTAAAATATTCTACTGTTGTGCAAAAAGAAATACAATTTAGATTGCACAGTTTTTCCTTTAAAGCAAATATAACTCAGCTGTGTTTTAAAAGAGCTGTGTTGTTACATACAAGACTATTTGCAGTCTTTTTTTTCAGAGCAAATTGTAACAACTAGTTGTTGCGAATGGTTTGAAAAAATAGAAGATTACTGAAATATTAATTTGGGAGTTTTATAGAGGGAGAAAAACAAAACAGGACCAAAGTTTATGTGCCTTCTTCGGTAGTCTTAATTGACTTTTTGTTCTATTTCAGACTAAGGTAGTATCAGTATTCTGGTTTTCAGGAAGTATGTGCTATATAGTTTTAAAAGAATGTTGTCCCACAGACTATTCATACAAGCAAAAAATTGTAACTGTATAATTGAGGTCTCAGTTACACTTTTGCCTTTATCACATAATATTCATCATGTAACATTGTGCAGGTATCCAGTAACAGAGCTGATCTAAATCTTTGTGTTATTCATCTTAGTTTTTGTAACCTGAGGCATATGTTCCAGAGAACAGGGATATTTGTCTGGTCCAGTGACCTTGGTGATAATAGTTGTTAATTGATAGCTGCTTACGGTAAGCTTACATCAGCACTGTAAACAGATTTTTTTTGTTGTGTTATTTTCAGTTCTTGTATCTATGTAGTAGTTGTAATAAGATATTTAAATAACCGTTTTTTTGGTATCATTTAAAAAATCATATTCTGGCCTTTTTTTCTTTACCGTTGTTACCCAGATCTTTTAAAAATCCATCGCACATCCAGAAAGTACTGATTGTAAAGATTGCTGACCAAGCAAAGTTTTTCATCAAAATGTCACCTCATTGCTCTGACCAAAGACTGTTCTGGTTTTAACTCCTCTCTGTTAAGCATTTTTTTCCAAGCTCTTTTCTGAAAGAAGACCCAGTGCAAAGCGGCCTTTACTTTCTATTTCCTATTAGTGAATAGACTACTTAAAGAAAATGGGAGTTTAAATGTGAACAGAATTGATTAGGATGACAAGGGTTTGATGGGCATTTTCAGTACTGTATTCAAGAAAAAAATAGCACAGCTAGGAGCCTCTGACATTGTCTTGCATTTTACGTGATCTGTTCATAAAATTCCCTTTTTCAGTCTGTAAGAATGTTCATCTAACAGAAGAAAATGCTGTAAATATTTGTAACAACATTTTTTTTTAACCGGGCCAAAAAAAAAAAAAAAGGGTTTTTGGGAACAAGTTAACATATAAAGTGGTTTTATATAAAACATCAATTGTCTTGTATATTTTGATAAGCAGCAGTACCAGTTTTCATTTGTAACACAGTTTGTGACATTGGAAGAAAAGGATTCTGTGATTGTTGATATGAATTATGTTATAAATGCAAAGAGAAGATGAAATATTAAAAAACATATTTTCTAAATGCGTAGTGCATGGTTAATTCAAGCTTCTGTACACTACAGTATATTCCATTCTCTTTCAGTTTGTATATTTGCTGACTATTACTTGGTATCTCTAATCTCTTTTCCTAACAACTATAGCATTGTAGCATGCCTTTTAATAAATGTCATGACATCTGTACTCTCTTAAGATTTTTCTGTGTTCTTGTCTGTGCTTTGGGTTTTCCCTTGTCTTACCTGTAATTCTAATGATGTCATATTTTCTTTTTTTTTTTCATAGCCATCCATCTAAACTTGGCCTAGTTAGAGACCAGCAAGCATATATTCAAACAACTTAAAACTCAATCCCTAAAACTACTAACCACTTCTCTTAGTTAAGGAACAATTCTTGTTTTGATCAGCAAAGTGCTTTTCCTTTTCCAGTCTTTCTGTAATGCAACTTCTAAAGCACATGTGGTGCTCTCTTACTTGCTTCTGCTTTCTCTCTCTCACACGTACACACCACATAGCGCCAAACTCCCTAGAGTTGGAAAACTTTTTCCAGTTAGGTTCAGTTTTTGGCTTCCCGATAGGACTAGTATAACACACTTGGAGACCTGAGGTGTGATCTTGGCATCCAAACCAATTTTGTGTCCTTTTTATCTAAAGGGTAGCACAGTTGCCAGCTCACTGTATATTGCTAAGAAAATTTAGACAAATGGTTCATTTCTGGGTGGTTTTTAAAGAGTTGCTGGGTTTCAGAAATCTAAGCAGTCTTACTTAAATCTTTTACTCTATGATCTCTTGGAAGTTGGAATTTATTTTTAATGGAATGGAAAATTAGGTAACCACAACTATCACTACTGATCTTCGCTGGTTTACCTGTAAAAATCTATGGTCTCCATAAACAGATGCTTCTTTTGGGGTCATAAGAGGCGTTTTTAATCAGGAAAAGAGAAAATAACCCTATGGCCAAATGGGATTTTTATAAACTTGATTGACCATGAAATGCTTATTTATATAACAGAGGGCTTATAACCAGCATTAAAAGGCATAGAGTCATGCAATTTTGAGCATAATGGACTTTAGAGATCACCTAACTCAGTTTCCACTTTTCAGAGATAAGCGACACAGAGCTGGAAGAGACTTGGCTAAGGCCACATGGCCCGTTAAATTGCAGAGCTAAACCAGAACCCAGGTCTTGACTTCAAAAGTCTTCTCCAGTGCACCCAGATGTTGCAGTTCTGTACTGCCTAGTGCTACTAGGTTTATGATGGTGAAGGTCTGTACTTTGGATTGGGGTGGTTATGTGTCCTGAAAACTACCATCATGGCTGAGAAAAATAATGATGGCAATTTTTGGAGAACAAATGTATTTTGATCTTTAAAATATAGTATTTTTTTAACCTTACTATTGTGTTAGTGGAGCCGTGGTGGTGCAGTGGTTAAGAGCTCGGCTGCTAACCAAAAGATGGGCAGTTCGAATCCACCAGCTGCTCCTTGGAAACCCTATAGGGCAGTTCTATTCTGTCCGATAGGGTCCCTATGAGTCAGAATCGACTGGACAACAATGGGTTAGTATGGTGGTTGTGTAGGCCCAGAGGGTACTGGCTTGCCACAGCCTTGCATCTTATGTAGTGTGGAAGGCACAGTATTTTCAAAGTCAGGTCTGCCATTGCTTGGTTTACATAGCCAGAGGTCCAGAAAAATCAGCAAACACTCATGGTCGAGAATTATTTAATGGCATACAAAGTCAGTTCTCTTCTTGGTGATAAAGTGATTTACCCTAAATTCCCCAGCATAATTTTCTAAAATTTTTCTTATGTAATTGACTCAAAGTTGTGTCACTTAAACCTTTCTTGAACCTTTTTCTGGCAAAGAATATCAGGAAGGAAGAGTTTTCCCCAGGAACTTTTGGGTTTACCCCTGACACAAGAAAAAGCCTGAATTATTCTGCAGCTGGACCAGATGAGGTTGGAATTTGTTTTTCTTGGAAACTGATCTCAAAATCCTTGTCCTCTAGAGCATGATCATGATGAGAAAATCATTTTTAAAAAATTGATTTTTGGTACGAATACTTGAACAAGAAGATTGGTATTTGAGGCTTGAGGCTTTATATTTCCAATTCAATGTCTTCGCAGCTTCAACTATGTGTTAAAAAAAAAAAAAAGCTCAATAGCAAGTTTGCTTTTTTGAAAAACTTGAAAAAGTGTTTTCTCAAAGTAGGGTGAAGGTTTCTAAATATAGAATATTTATTTGGCCACCAACAAACTTCAGTATAGAACAGAAGAAGTTTGTACAAATTTGGCATTGGCATTTAAGTATTCACAGAGATAGACAAATCCAGTTGTTTGCTGATGTTAGTTGCTATTGAGTAAATTCTGACTCACGGTGATTCCATGTGTGCAGAGTAGAACTGCTCCATAGAGTTTTGAAGGCTGTGACCTTTGAGAAGCAGAGCACCAGGCCTGTCTCTTGAGATGCCTTTGGGTGGGTTTGAACCACTAACCTTTTGGCTACTAGTTGAGTGCTTAATGGTTTGCACTACCCAGGGACTTGTTTTCTACCTGCCCCGTAATTGCCCTGATGACCTGCAATCCTTCAGCTTCCTGCCAGGGATTCTAAAATCTGCATCACACCCATTCTTTGTCCTTCTGTTTCCTTTCTGTGTTCAGGTTCTCATGCTCTCCTATCTCCTCAGGGATCTCACTCTATCCATTATCTATCCATTGTCTGTTCTCTCCTGCTTCTTCCGTCTCTTCTACTGGATTTTCCTATCTACTTTTTAAACATACTCAAGCCTCTCCCATCTTGAAACAACATCCAAAATGCTCCTTTGCTAAACTTCTATTTCCCATCTTCCCCTTTATAGCCAAACTTCCAAAGAGAATTGTCTCTGCTGCTTCATCTTCCCACGTTCATCAGAGCCCCTCCCACCCCAGTTTTTTGCCACATCATAACCCGTTGCTGTTGAGTCAGTTCCAAGAGTCAATGACCCCATGTGCACCAGAGTAGACCTATGCTCCATAGGGTTTTCAATGGCTGATTTTTTCAGAAGTAGATCACCAGGCTTTTCTTCCAAGGTGCCTCTGGGTATACTCGAACTTCCAATCTTTCCATTAGCAGCTGAGCACATTAACCATTTGCACATCCAGGGATTCCATTTGCCACATCATAGCAAATCAAAATCAGAACTTGCTTTAAAATAAAAACCTACACTCATCTTAAAACAGAAAACACTAAGTGTTTCCAGTAGGCACTGACATGGCACAAATGGCACTGAACATGGAATACAAATCACATCCTTGGCTAACAAATATGTCTGAGCACCACCTTGGTTCTACAGCTTGTTCTGAATGCTTTCTCATTCCATATTCTCCACTTGCCTGTCGGACAAAATATCAAGCTTGAATCTCTGTATTTTGTATCACAATGAGTCTTTAAAATGAAAGTATTTTATGTTTTTCAAGTGTATCTCCTCCCACTCAGATTCTAATATGTACTCTTTGCACCCCCAGTTGAGAATCACTGTTCTAGAGATGATCAACATTTAGAAAAATAAGAATTCCATCTTTCTTCTAAGTAAACTCTGGACCGAGTCTTTCTGCATCAGTGCCAATGACATCCCCAGGACGTATAAATGATCAGAATGCAAACAGCCTTGCAGTTAAGGCCTCTGAATGCCACCTGACCTTTTCTGTCACAGTGCAAATGTCATTGTCATGTTCTCTTTTGTGACTAAGAACACAATACCGGGGAAGCCAGCACAACTTGTACAAGGAAAGGTCATGGAAGCCCCACAAACATCCGAAACTCCCTGAAGGACTGAATTGCTGGGCGGAGGGCTGGGGGGACCATGGTCTCTGGGAACATCTAGCTGAACTGGCATAACACAGTTTATAAAGACAATGTTCTACGTTTTACCTTGGTGAGTAGCGTCTGGGGTCTTAAAAACCTGTAAGCAGCCATCTAACATATTCCACTGGCCTCACCCCTTCGGGAGCAAGGGAGAATGAAGAGAACAAGCAGCAAGGAAAAGATTAGTCAAAAGGACTAATAGACCACAACTACCACGGCCTCCACCAGACTGAGTCCAGTACAACTAGATGGTACCCGGCTACCACCACTGACTGCTCTGACCGGGGTCACAACAGAGGGTTCTGGACAGAGCTGGAGAAATATGTAAAACAAAATTCTAACTCACAAAAAAAGACAAGACTTACTGGCCTGACAGAGACTGGAGAAACCCTGAGAGTATTGTCCCCGGACACTGTTTTAGCTCAGTAATGAAGTCATTCCTGAGGTTCACCGTTCAGTCAAAGATTAGACAGCCCCATAAAACAAAACGAGACTAATGGGGCACAACAGTCCAGGGACAAAGACTAGAAGGCAGGAGGGGTTGAGAAGGGACAGTGCTGACATGTCGTGGGGTTGTTAACCATTGTCATAAAACAATATATGTTCTAACTGTTTAATGAGAAACTATTCTGTAAACCTTCATCTAAAGTACAATTAAAAAAAAAAAATTGTGACTAAGAATGAATGTCATCACCCACAATCTTTCTCTTCTGATTACCAGCCACTATGTAAATAACTGATGGCACAGTGGTTAAGAGCTATGGCTGCTAACCAAAAGGTTGGCAATTCAAATCCACCAGCCGCTGCTTGGAAGCCCTGTGGGGCAGTTCTACTGTCTCTTATCGGGTCACTATGAATCAGAACTGACTTGATGGCAACAAGTTGTTTGGAAACCCTGGTGGCCTAGTGGTTAAAAGCTACAACTGCTAATCAAAACATCAGCAGTTCAAATCCACCAGGCACTCCTTGGAAACCCTATGGGGCAGTGCCACTCTGTCCTATAGGGTCCTGATGAGTAGGAATCGACTTGACGGCAATGAGTTTGGTTTTTGGTTTTTTCTATAAATAACACAGCTACATGTAATTGAGTTTCCAAAGATTGTAGACCTACTTAAAAGGAGGTGATTGTTTACTTATTTTATTGTG